AAAAATAAGGCTGAGTACAGAGATCTCAAAATTAAACTTCCTTACCCTTCGGTTTTTTCGCAATCTTCTGCATCTCCCACAGCAACATCGTCACTGCTCTCCTCCACTACTGGCTGATTCGTGACGCCTCTCTGCTGCGTCCGCCTCCTGGATCGAATCTGAAAGAAGAAACAAGGAGCTGGTAAAGGAGCTGAAACCAGATGATTTGGGGCTGAATCACAGCGATGAGATGTATCCCATTCTGTCTCATCAGCTACAGTGACACAATATCATTAATTATGAATGTGTATTAAGTCGGTACTGTGTCATACCAACTGTGCGCATTTTCTATAAATGAAAAACAAACAAACAAACACACAAATTAAATGCTACACAATTTGATTCTTTACCACAAAGTGTTGTTGTTGATGTTGATTGTGCCGAAACTGAACTTCAACACTTTTATAGACAATGAACGGGGATCGTGATTGGCAGACAGAGTTATTCAACAGAATTAACTGAAGCTTCTTTGCACTTTTCTGTTTTCAAACTTTGTCTGCTTGTGGCACACTAGCTCAATTGGACACCTCCAATTCTTTTTCGCTGCTCTTATTTCTATTATTTTTCACTTCCAGTTTTGAATCGATCATCTTTATGGTTTTTTAAAATTTCTTCCGATTTGTTTCCAGGTTGCATGCCCAAAGTCTCTCACAAAACCCTAAGAAATCCAGTTATTCTGTCACTTACTTCATGGACAATCAGAGCAACAGTTTGTTTGTGACAAAAAGGTCACTTAAACAAAAAAAAAGGTTGTTTTCACAGAAAATCCAAGCTGTGGTGTCAAAGTGCAGTTCCAAACAAATGAACAGAGCTGGATGTCCAAATGCAACCACCTCCAGAGATTTAGTGACCTGTGTGGTTTCATAACCCAAAGCTCCATCGATTTTATGCTCACAGCACTGTCTAACTGAGCTGTGCTGCTGACCATGACCAGTTTATTTATTCAGTCATCAGGCTAATAATGAAGAATTACACTAAGTAGACCAAGCTTGAAATAATAAGCATTTGTTTTAAGATATAGGAATGTGCCCGGACAAATAATCCTCTTTTTCCAAACTTACTGTAGCTGCTTCTGTGCTGGCACGTAAGGATACAAACACTTGTGGTTAGAAGTTCAGAAAATCCTTGTTACTAAACATTATGTAAAGTCAGCATGGGGACTATAGAGATAAGCCCTGCTGTGTCACAAGTGATTTACATGAGATGCCAAATTGGTGATCCTTGCTGCCCAGATTGGCTTTAGCTAAAGGATTTTGGATTGTGAATGGAGCTGTTGAAACTCTTGTCGTCAGACACTTGGTCTTTTGTTCAAGGCTTTCATAGATGCTGGCACTCAGTGAATGCTGGTTAAATTAAAAAGAAAAGGAAACTCAATTTAGGTGAGAAAAATCAGAGTCTCCAAACGGCAGGAAATCTTGCAAAGAACTGAAGTTAAGGGGAATGAGCACTCAAAGAACAGCTTGGAAGAAAGTTTGCATCAGAATGAACTGTGAATAAGAACGTTATTATTACTTTATTATTAGCGAGCCAAACAAAACAAAAAGAGTAACGTACAACGGCAGTGCTCGGGTTTCCAAGCACACCTTCTATTTTTGTTCTGTGGTGGGTTCAATGGAAAATAATTAAAAGGATGTGGTTATTAATCATTATCTTCTCAGTCATCAAACACTTGTGTCAGTCACAATGGAAAAGAAAGAAAGATACTGAACAAGTGACTTTTCATAATAAATGTATACTTTTGCATGTGTAGTAAAGTAAGGCTTTGGCATTTAGAAAAATATGACAGATGTCAAGATCAGGTCCTCTCTGATATCTGTCCAGTAAAAAACAAGCCAACGGCAAGCAGCCATTGAGCTCAGGGCAACAACCTAAGACAGGAAAGCAGCCAGGCAAGCCTGTCCAATGGTAATAAAACCTCCCTACCAGCAACTCTAAATCTTATCTCTAGACATGTTCATACACAAGGTCTGTAAAACTCAGGTGTGACTATGATATATGGGCAGTCTTATGAAAGGTTTTATGCTGGAATGGAATCAAATGGTGAATCAGAGAAACCCTACAAAAAGAAAAAGGTCCAGGACCTGTCTTACGGAAACTTAAAGGACTTTTACAATCTATAGCTTTTTGCAGAACATGCAGGTATGAGTAATAATAAACATCTTATCGAAATCTCTGAGTAGAAGACACAACAATTCTCCATACAAAAGGCTTGTGCTGTGAGTTACACGCTTTAAAACCTACTGTTACAGTCATGGTTTAGCTGTATTTCAAAGCAAGATGTCTCCGAGTTTTACCTGCGCTTGTGTTAATGAAGCCGAGGTCCGACTCCTGCAGAAGCGTCCAGTTGCAGGACTCTGCTGTCTGGGTGCTTCCTGTGTTTGTGAACTCTTTTTTTCGACCCGCTGTCGCCCCATTGGGTCCAAAAGGTGCCGTTGAGCCAGGCGCATCACCCGTGTCAGTATATTTACAGCACCTGGAAGTGTGACTGTAGGCAAAAAATACAACACAAGAATCTCTCATTCTGCTTGGAAGAAATTCCCAGATCTTTCATTCTCCAAGAAGAACGACTGCCTTTTGTTTCCTGGCTCTGTAAAACAGGGAATGTCATTTAAGATGGTGTAAATCTGCTGTAATACATTTTATTCAACTCTGATATTGAACACATATGTGGGACTTGAGCACTACTCCACTAACAAAATCGCAGGTACACAGTACTGATAGTGCTGTAGGCAAAGCATGCTGGAGTAACAAAATAAGTTATCATTCCATGACAGAGCTGCCCCTACTAAAATGCCCGTGTGTGTACTGTGTGTGTTCTGGTGTGTGTATGCGTCCTTGCTATACACAAATGAATGTTATCAGTAGCTTCCCATATTTACTCAGGGGGCAGAATCTGCCTGCTTAGGCAAGCTGTGAACACAAAGACTCACTTATAAAGTGTACTGTCCATGTTTGTGTGCAGGCACACTGATGCATACAATCACTGCTACCATTTCAACAGGACATCAGAAAGTGAGCATTAATTTAGCAGTTTGAAATCTTTCTGTCATCAAGCTGTGCTAGAAGAAAACCTGTGAAAACCTTAACATCTTAATATTCTTGTAACATTTTTGACTTTAAAATCCAGAAGCAAGATTTTGAAAAAAGCATCCATCACATTTTAACAATGTACCAGCTATGTTTATGAGCCTTAGCATACTAGTAAGGTTCTACTTTGAAGACGGGCTTACAGCTGTGTGATTTCCTGCCCCAAATACCTGGGGCAGGAACTTTTTGTTGTTATAGACCAGTGACCGTTCCAATAAGGTATTTCAAAGTTTGACATGATCAGCAGCCCAGAGTAAAAAAAAAATCAATAAAAAAAAAAAATCAGCTTGCTGTCTGGCAAGCTGATTGGCCAGCTGCTGGGTCGTTGGGGCCAGTGATTATGTCACCACCAACCACTGTTGTGACTTGTGTGAAACAAACAGGCTGCAGTGACCTTTGCTAACCAGTAATTCTTTTTCTCGCCTTCAGTAGCCAATTTTCACATTATAGGAAGCCTGTGAGGTTACTGTGTTAAGGAGGCTGTTATTAGTGAAAACTCAGCAGGAATGCTGGCTGTGCTCGACAACACGAGCAGTTCACTTGCATTTCTGACTAAAATAGATGTATGCTGACTGTAAAATATGTAGGAGCATGTGTGTGATATAAAGTATTACAAAATTTAGCCAAAGCAGCCTCAGTGTTTCGACAAAAAAGCGGCTAACCCAGCTGCAGTGAAGATGATGTTTACCGTAGTTCACTGTGGAGTCTCTCCTCTACAATTGAGGCCTTAATTCCTTAAGCAAACTGATGACAAGCAGTTTAGCTAAAATATTAGAGAGGATTGTCTTGCAACAGTACTGTGGCTTAAATGGAACTATTAGACAAGTTTCTACTTGTCATACGTTTTGCATGGCTCTACCCTACGTTTAACCAGCTCAACTAAATTTGTATTTAGACTTCTTTTTCTTGTTTTAGTATGGCTCTTTCAGCACTTCCGCTCAATACATGGATGTGAGGGTTTCAAAACATATTATGTAGACCAGTGATGTATGAACACATGAACATTTGTGCACATAAGGGCAAACAATAGAAACTCACCCTTCTCAGTGGTCTTTTCTCCCACAGATGCTGGTGATACATTTTCTTTCTCTTTTCCTTCTGTGACTTCATCAGACAGTGTGCCCTGAGTTTCACTTTGTTCTAAAAACAGCACATCAAATTTTAGACACAATAGTTTAGTTTACAGCATTAGAGGCAAACAGTAGGAAATCTTTTCAAGTCTTTTTTTTTTTTTACAGTTGATCTCAGTCACTGGTTTTGTCGACACATGAAACATACACACAAAATCTACCAAAACTACCAGAATTTTCAGCACTCATTACTCGCCATAAAATTGTCTGATTTGCAGCCAAGTCACAGTTATATACAACCCAATGTATGTGTTTATTAGTTTATTCCAGTAGTTGGATTATTGTGTCTTTACTGAATACATTGTTTAATCAATCACACTTGCAAGCTGG